CCCCCGCCCATGGGCAGCCTTATTGGTTTTACTGGCTGTCAGCCCACCCAGCTTCATTTATCTTTCAAATAAAGTAAGGGATTGTAATGCCTACCTCTCCAAGGGACCTCAGTGGTAATGCAACGATGCTCAGCTAGTCCCCTAGAGCCCCATAGTTCTATGGAGGTGTCCCCAGGAGCATGGGGTGGTGCTGAGGGCTGAGAAGGTACCTGAACAGCCAGGCCTCTTGGTCTCCTACCTCAACATCTCTTGCAACTATTTTATACGTTGGGTTTGATGATACGATATATGAAGAAGGTTATACTACGCAGCAAACTCTTACTGACGCATATAAACCTAACTGTCTCAGGTTGTTTTCGGTAGAGAAGCAAAACTAGAGGGGAAGAAATAGACATACAAACTGAGAAGTATATACATACAGAGAGAGAAAGGTTTTCATCCAGAAAATGGCTCACATGGTTGTAGAAGCAGGCACATCCCAAGTCCCGGCAACGCCAAGTCTGCCGCCGGTCAGACATGAGGCTGGAGGCTTCTCCTGACTTGGGGCTGATGAGCCCAAGCTTGGCAAGACCAGGCTTGGTGGTTGCAGAATCCAAAGTCTGCAGGTCAGGTTTGTGGCCTCAGGTATGATGGCAGGCCGGTACCCACTCCCAAGATCATCAGGCTGCATGACAGGCTGCTGGCTCAAGTCCCAGTCAATGTATCAGATGCGGGATCCAGACCCAGCGAAGAGCCAGCAAGCTCTTCCACAGCGCCCACTTGCATGGGAAGCAGGCCACATCCTCAAGGAGACCCCACCATGGGAGGCCGCTAGGTCTTCACAGCCAAACGACTAGGCCAACTCGACACAGCAGCCCTAACTATGTCACCAACTCACTGGTGTGGTAGCAATGCTACAGGGCAGAAAAGAACGACCCCGATCTTTAGGGAGACAACCTGCCTCATCTTTCTCCTTTGGAGCAGTCGGCAGGTTCAAAGAGCCCACTTTTCTATTAACAGCCACGTGCTAATTTAGCTACTGTACTACCAGGCCTCCCGGGTGAAGCATGGCATGCCAAAGAGAAGTCCTTGGAGAACCTGTGCCTCCTACTCCCTCTTGCGAGAGGATGAGGGAGCCAGCTGTGATGGGCACAGCCTCCGCGTTCACGCTTCTGCAAGGATAGAGACACCGGCCTCGAGAGGGTCGAGGGGTTCTCCTGTGGTGGTCAGGTGCGATCCAGCGGCGCAGTGATTAAGCACTCCATGGCTAATGGACAGATTGGAATATGCGACCCCCAGTGTCTGGTCAGGGGAAAGACCCAGAGCTGTGCTTCCCTAAAGATGCCAGCCTAGTCCACCTACGGGACAGCCCTACTCTGGGCGTCCCAGGTCGAGGGACGGCTCCCAACACTGGTGTCTTCCCGGTGGCAGAAGGCCAAGGTTTTCTCCCGCAGAGCTGCTGGGTGGTGGGAGCTGGGCCTTTCTCAGAGGTGCCGCCAGGGCACCCTAAATCGTCTCTGGGATGTGCCAGTGGGATGTAAGTCCCAGCGTCGCCCCCTAGTGAGACCCCTCCTTGTCTGCTCTGTGTTCCAGGAGCCATCGGCAGGAGCTGGGGAGGTTCTGCTCTCCATCAGCTACCTCCCGGCCGCCAGCCGTCTCCTGGTGGTACTGATCAAGGCCAAGAACCTCCACTCCACTCAGTCGAAAGAGCTGCTGGGCAAAGGTGAGTCGGGGCTGGGAGGGCAGAGCCAAGCCCCTGGCTGGCCGGCTGACGGCCGCAAATGAGGCCAAGGAAGGTGGCGGTGGAGACCGGTGAGCTGAGAGACAGAGCCTGCGGGTGCTGCGGGGAGTCCACTGGGCCTTGTCCTCCTGAGAGGTGCTGCAGGAACGAACGGCCCACCCTAAAGCGAGTGAGCAAGGGCCTGTAGAGAGCAGACGGGATTCTCTCAGGGCTCTGGAGGTGAGACGTCCTAACTCGGGAAGACTTTCTCCCCAGCTCATTGCAGCTGTGCCTCTCGCTTCCGGGAGTGCCCCCCTGGCCCCTGTGGTCTGGCATCTATCTTCCCTACCCTCTTGCACCTGACCCTGAGCCCTTGGCACCCCAGGAGTGATTAGCATAGCACCCCTTTATACACCGGTCTGCTCTCGGGGGCAAAACAAGGAAAACCAGGCTCTTAGATGGGGGGTGGGGCACAATTCAACCCAGAACACCTGCAAACCAAGCAGAAGACACCCTCGTTGGGCCAGCTGGAATCTGTTCACTGTCGGGACAGTCTGAGCTACTTTGAGGGCCACCCGAAGGGAGTCCGCCATCATCATGGGTCCCAGAGGAAGCCCAGCGTCCGGCGAGAGACCCGAGATGGGGTGCTGGGCTGCATGGGAACTGTGGCTTACTCTTGTCCCTGCGTGGTGACCAGGCCCACCTCACAAGCAGGGGAGGGGAAGCCCAGGCTCTCCTCCACTCTCACGCTCACCTCAGGTGCTGCTCTCTCCCCTGCCCTCGACAGCCTGGCCCCACACCTGCACCGGCTGCACGTGGTGGCGGAGGGTGGTGAGTGGGCATGCTGGCTCTGCCCAGCATTCACCTGAGTAAGCGTCCATGGTCTCTCTGGTAGCCTCCCATCCCACATCTCCTCAGCTAGCAGCACCTGTTAGCTGTGAGGCACCTGCACCGAGAGCCACCCATTTGTAGGAGGAAAGTACAAACAGATCATTGACACCTTGTGCCAAATCTTTAAGTGAAGGATTCTGGGTGAATGACATCCAGAGAGCTGTTCTTGCTGATGGCTGCCTGGACCAAAGGCCAGGGCCCGCACTCCTGTCGCCTTCCCTCCAGGCATCCTTCCCATTTGGTCTTTTTCTGCGCCCCCGGTCAGACCGTGAGGGCTCCCCACATTGCCTCTGAACCACCCAGAGGTGGTAATTACAGCAATAAACACAGAGCGGCAATTATTCTCACATTAGCTCCAGGAACCTTGACTAATGAATATTTGCCGTCCCAGTTTTGAGCCTGGTCATGTCCCATGAAAGCTCATCTGGCGATCTGTTTAGGGGTTGCTTTTTGGAGGGGTGGGGGGCCACTCTATGTGTGTCGTGCCTCTGCCCACACCGTCCTCATGAAGTTGGGGTTCTCAATGAGCAGTCAGCAAAGAAAGGGGAGAAAAATCGAACCAGCCAGCAGGAGACAGATCAGTCCCCCAATAACACCAAACACAGTGCAGTAAGTGGATTTCCACTCAGGAGGACCCTGTATAATACAGAGGGAGGGGGAGGGGGAGGGA